GCTGATATCCAGCGACGTATGTTGGAAGCAGCATATCCACTAGCTTCTATCAAGTGCAAGTCACTTGCCGTGACACGCCTACCCGACTTTGGTCTTTGGTATTTGGTCTTCACTGTCTTCTTGTTTACCGAATATTTGCTTTCAGAATACAGAAAGTAAGATTATTCAAAAAATGCCCAACTTTCGCAAGCAAGGTTGTTTGGGAAGGAAGCATCGCAGAAAGTCTCAGTAAATCCAGTGAGATGGAAAGGAAAACTCATCACGCCCTTTTGGCCGTGCTGGAGGATGTAAGTGCGAGCGGCATTTTTTGTTGTCGACTTGTCCATTCAACAGTCAGAATTTGAACGGTTACTGTTTTAGGCTTCTGCTAAAGCTTTACGGCAACTAATCATCAGGACTGATTCTCCTCGCCTTATTTTGGCCGCTGAAAACTGGCTGCCCGTTTGGCAGCGAAGTGGATGGCGGAATTCTCTGCATAAACCTATTGCAGACGCTGATTGCTGGAAGAAGATTTGGTCGCTCAAAGAAATTGTCAAGGTGGCTATGACTTTGTTGCCAAGGCTTTCATTCGTGAAAATTTCTCGGTTTGCTTGATGAACATAATCATATCACTCAAGGTCTACTGGGAACTTATGGATCCTCCGGACGATAACGATAAGGCGGCTGCGCAATCGAGCTGTGCCTCCATTAATAATAATGTCTGATTAGTTCATTGCCCTAAATTGCGAACTTCCATTATTGGCATGGTGAGTATACCTTTGGCGTTGGTAAGTAATTTTGTAGCGCTTCGGACGGGCATTTAGTTGCAATATTTGTTCATAAAACAACATAAAATAAAGTGAAACATCTGTCAGCTTTTTGGCTTCTACGAAGACCAAGGGAGAGCAGTTGTCGAAGTATTCTGCCCGTCTATGTCCCACATCAGTACGATTAGAAAACTGAAGGAACGATGAGATCTTTACTGTGAATCAGAAAAAGGGTTTTTGAGCAGTACAGGTTGTCTCCTGGTCTATACATGTCTTAAATGGATCCAGTCAGAAAGGAAATCCTCCTCGAACTATTCACCATTTGAAATTTCTGATTTATTGGTTCTCTGTATGTCCTTCTATTGCGATGCGACTGCCACTTTAGGTATTCCGACTTCGTATCCCCATCTCTGAGTTGGCAGTCCGATTTTGAGGTACGAAGCGTTCTTGCTGTAATAACAATATTATACTGGGTTCGAACACCTGACCGGGGTTGCTAAAAGCTTGGGCGTGTTGTTGATCACTGTGTAATAGCTGCGTAAATGTTGGATTATTGGGGAATACCAGCTTTTCGGTAGGGTTTTGCCAGGACGTCACCAATGTGGTCGACATGTTCCCGCTCCGATGGCTTTTAAAATAACTGAATTGGAAACAAAGCAGCCGATAACTTTTGAGAAGTATAGGTTTTCCATTTTCAAGGCGCGTTGTGTTCTCGAACTGTGGCCGGTGTCATACTTTGCTAGTCCAGCGAATCGCGGGGTTCGAGCCCAGGGTCAAGCGTGTGTTGGAGTCCTTGACAGATCGACAAGGGGGTCGTTTCTGGTCCACTAGTAGGAAGGGTCGGATCGATCACCTCACCTCTGTCGGAGAATTTGAGAATTTGATAAAGCAACTATTGACAGAAGCTCGCCAATCCCACAAACACCCATCATTTTCCGGAAACTAACATGGTCTAGCGGCCGAATAAGCTCAGATAACTAATACCTTTGTTGAAGTTGCACGATAGTTGTTTACGCTATCAGGACTTTGCATGAACAACTATCATGCTTTGGATGTTGAGATATTCTAGCGGTTGCAATTCTTACGTCCATTGTTACGTCTATGGCATTGAAAGAGAAGCACCAACACCCATTATGCACAAACACCGACCATCCCAGAAAGCTCGGAAAGATTAGCGGTCTAAGCAATCTCGATGGCAACGACGAAATCGCAAACTAAATAGTATTTTTTGTCGCCATCTAGATAACAACTTTAGTTTCTCTTCATTTTTTGCTATTATCACTTCTGTCCCCACCAAATATGTTCCCGTCCCACCCCCTATATCATATCTTGAAACCAACTCCTGACGACCACTGGTGCCCGAGCTATGAATTTCGCGACACTTGCGTTCTAGCGCCTTTTATCAGCCCTTATCAGTTGTTATCACTTTCTGTCCCCCACCAAATATGTTCCCGTCCCACCCCTATATCATATCTTGAAACCAACTCCTGACGACCTCTGGTACTGTCAACCGTCCGTTCGAACTGTTCGAACGAAGGGGTCGCATTTTGGTCACGGGCCGAGGAAGGGGGTCGCAATCTCGAGGACCCACGGCCGCAATCACGGCGGTAGCATCATTGGTCGGTGGATGGAAGGGTGGGAAGGAAAGCTCACAAAAAACTTGGATTAGTCAATTGAAATTGGAAGTTCCAAATGCCAGCCACGGGCGCGTGCGTGGCGTATCCGAGGGCAAGACTTGCTTGTGCAGACCGCATTAGATTCGATTTATTATGCACAGAGAGACAGTTTTAGGCAAATTACGGTGTTTTCCTTGGAATAAAGAACAGTTGAATGCATCCCTATGAAAGGTTTGACTTCTCGGGGCTGAAATTAAAGTTCTTCGGGACCTAATTTTCTGAGGACGATTCTTCCAGACAACGGTAAAACACATAAGAAAGCAGAAATCTCGTAGTCTTCAAAAATGTCTTCGCCCTCCCCAACAAGCTTCTTTGAAGGAAGTTATTATTGCTGAAAGCTCAAAAACTCGCATGTGCTGCTCAAAAACCTATGGGAAAAATGTTCGAACGTGTGATTTTCTCGAAAAATGAACTTTGAAAAACGGTTTGGTGCTTGTTAGAAAGAGCAAATCCTGTACTTTCACCCCATGAAAAAGTGCATCACAGAAATGAAAATGAAGTGAGTTATGCCCGCTTAAAGCCCAAAAACTCGCGATTTCAAAAAAAGTGTTCGGCAAAACCCCCCAAAATGTTCGAACGTGTGATTTTCTCGAAAAATGAACTTTGAAAAACGGTTTGGGCTTGTTAGAAAGAGCAAATCCTGTACTTTCACCCCATGAAAAAAGTGCATCACAGAAATGAAAATGAAGTGAGTTATGGTCGCTGAAAGCCCAAAAACTCGCTTTTGCACGAAAAATGTTCGAACGGGACAATTTTTTGAAAAAGGGGACAATCACTAAACTTTTTATACTGTTTTGTTAGAGAAATATTTGAAGTTTCTGAAACTTTTTACAGCTTTCCAAAATGTCGCATACGAAAGATTTTATGGGCCTTCAAAGTTGAAGGTGCGCCTTCTTAGAATTTTGGGTTTTCCACTTCTAACAGAAGTACTTTCCGGAGAGTTAGGGTAGTTTTCTGAAGCGCACCTCAGGCACAGTCAAAATCTACCTCAACAAGTCAAAAAAATACGTCCCAAGAAAGTTATTCCTCTAAAATTTTTTCTTCGCCGCGTCCCGTTCTTCCAGCGCCCGGGTGATACCTGCCGCGCTCCAAGGCTGACGCCGCTACGCAGACGCTTTCTGCGGCGTACTGAGTGAAATTGGCGCGTATCATCATAGTACGAATTTTTTCAAACTTTTCAGTTTTTGTTCACAACCTCCTTTGAAACTGTGGCGGGAATTGGGCCTCTTTTTGTAAGAAGGCGCTGTCCATTTCGTGTTGTTTCTTCTGTTATTTTGAAGCAGCATTTGCGATGTTTTGGTTTCGTTTAATTCAGTTCGTGTTGTTTCTTCAGTATTGTAACTGAGAAAAAACTTTGAAATATAATATCAAGGACTTAACCTTAAAAAGGCCAAACGATTGATACAGTATTTGATGTTGTTTTTCGGATGTCCTCATCCGTTCCGGTATTGATTTTTTCAGATAATGAAGTTTTCAGATTGCTGACTATTACATTCAAAAAGCTAGAAAAAACATCGAATGGCTACTGAATGGCCTTTTTAAGGTTAAGTCCTTGATATTTCAAAGTTTTTTCTCAGTTTTACCATCCTGACGGCTTCGTAGACAACCCAGTATGAATACATCAAAAAAGATTGCTTACTAGTAAAGCTGGAATTCCCGTGGGAGGGATAGAAGTCTGATCATTTTGTGGAGCTCTTTTCTCTTTTTTTCCTGTGTCTCCCTGGCTGACAGCGCATGCAAAATGATGTAAAATTGGTTTTTGCTTGACTGATGATTGTTCGAATTTGAATTTAAAAAAAAATTCAAAATTCCGGTGCTATGAAAAAGGCGAAAATAAAAGTGTGAAGTGAAACAGAACATTCACAGCACTTGAGGGCACTCTCAACATTAACAAAAGGGGGTCACAAATGGACTTTCTCGAGGGGGAGGGTCAAAAATTCCGAAAATGTTCGAACGTGACGGTTGACCCTGCTCCGGTATCCGAGCTATGAATTTCGTGACAAACACACACACAAATATACTTAGTGAATTATATATAGTAGGATCGCTTAATCACATGTATGATCGCCAATTGTGAACGCTACCTAAACGTTCTGAACAATCACTTCCAGCACTATCAAGAACATCGACAAGGGTGTCATTCCGAGAACGTGGCCTTCGCTCACAGTGCCAACATCAACTCTGTTCCGATCTCCTTGTGATGTTTACCACATTGGGGAGGCAGTGTACAATATCCGTTAGTTATCGATTTGTTAACTAGTACCTTTATGTCTCCCTAAATTCAAGTTGTAATGAAATATCGTTTATGCTGTGTGGCCTTTTGCGGCATGTGTCAAACTTTGTAATTCACAAGACTGCAGTCTATCACAATTCTAACACCATGTAATGCGCACCGTATGCTTCACAATGCAAGCATAACCACGCAAAAAAAGAAGCACAAAAGATCAGCCCTCTTAACAAGTTGACCACCGCCGTTATGCGCGCACTGCTTCAACATTTTTTGTATTCTCTCATCAATAGGCATTAATACTTCAGCGTTTTCATTATCAGTAATGAAAAACTGTTTTTCGGATCCAATAATGTACATGGACCGTTGTGGAACAGAAAGAAACGCCAAAAAATTAAGGAAAAGTAGTCTGCTCAATGTGAAAGTGTGGTATGACATCATATCACACGGTCGTCAACGTATTAAAAGCAACTTCATTACTCGCGATCGCACTCGCGCGCACTCGAGCTGCTGCTAAATACGGCTTACGTTAATACGGCTCAATACGAAATCTAGAAAATCCGCTTTTCTGACAAGTTTGCTTTGCTGTTAAATAGCCATTTAATCGGCAACGGGAAGGTGCACTGATAGAGCGAGCGGAATCACGACAGCTTGCTGCGAGAATAGCTGCGCAAATGGCTACACGTACCACACCTGGCCGGCAGCATGTTGTCCTGCGAGAGGTGTTCGTTTGACGTCCCGAGGGATCCAGTCGGTAACCGCTCTGGTCCAACGGTCATCGCAAAATCGCATGACGTGTCCGGCCCACCTTATCTTCGATTCCTTGGCGAAAACGGCAGCGTCCCTGATCTTCGATCGTTGGCGTAGTTCGGAACTCCGGATTCCCCTCTGCACTTGCGTGTATAGGGTTACTCCTAGCATCGTCCTCTCGACAGCGCGTTGGATAACGCTGACCGCATGCTCGTCCTGCCTGCGCAGAGTCCAAGTCTCTGAGGCGTAGGTTAGGGCAGGAAGGACAGCGGAATCGAAGAGGTGGGCACGGAGCCGGATGTTCTTCGTCTTCTTCACTACTCCCTCGATGTTCTTGACGCTCCCCATGCCGCTCGTTTCCTCCTGCTCAGCTCTGGAGCTAGATCGTTCATCATATTGATTTCCCGACCTAGGTACACGTAGCTGGAGCATTCGGTGATGTTCGTTCCGTTGAGCGTGAATGGGGCATCAGGAACCAATCCGTTTCTCATATTTCTCATAAACATCGTCTTCGTTAGGTTCAGCTGTAGACCAGGCGCAGTCGAAATCAGCCAGCATTCGCTCCGCTTGCTCGATGTTCGGCGTTATAAGAACGATGTCGTCAGCAAAACGAAGGTGGTGTAGTTGCCGGCCGTCGACCTTCACTCCCATGTCTTCCCATTCCAGTTGACGCATGACGTTCTCGAGAGCGGCGCTGAAGAGTTTGGGCGAGATGGTGTCGCCCTGTCGGACCCATCTCTTGACGCCGATGATGACC